TTAAAATTGTTGAAATCTCATGAGCGCTTCCATACAACTCCAAAAGTTATTTGGCATTATCTCAGAAATTATTCAGGGTATAAGTTTGAAAAATTGTACAAGCAAATCTCATACTAGGTACTTTATATTAAGTAAAAGCCATTGAAATCGTCGGCTTTTATGTCTCGACTGCCTGTGGCCTTAGAAAGTTTAGAAAGCTGAAATTGTGAACAATGAATTTGGTAATGTGACCATGATTTTCAGGAAAACTCTTTTACATTATGTATGGATTTATATGATAACTAATATCACTAGACATATAAGGAAAAGGCTGTATGAAACTGTATGTCAATTATCCCTGACATTTAAAATCGTTTTAGGTATGATCAACTATATTTATTCTCGTTGTCAAATAAAACTAAAAAGTTAAAAAAATATTCCTGGAATTTTAAAAATTTTAACTCTTCTTATACCCAGCAACACTGATAAAAAATTAAGATAAAAATAGACACGTTATTTACTCTTTAAAATTAAGTTTCTTTTACCTCGATTTTCGAATACAATATACAGGTATATTTTCATGTGCACCTTAAACACCAACGTGTAAACGTAGATAATATGGTTTCATTTTTACGTACAAAGTTTCAATTCAACGTACGTTAGAGTGCATGTCTTATAATTTCAATTTAATTTTTCTTACTCAAAATATCTACACTATAAAAAAAATAACATGTTGACATAATCTATTTACATAGTATATACATAGACTCCCTTTTTATAAAAGTTGATTATTTCCTGTTGATTCTTCTAACATCAGTTAAATAGTTATGTGTAGTTATAGTTGTAAAAGGATTACAAGTAAAAGAAAAGAGATAAAAACAAAACCTAAGATGAAAAAGTTTTTAAGTGAAATGAAAATAATAAGATAGGAACGGAAATAAAAATTTCATTTTTAAGAAAGAAATTACAATGAAACAAGAAGAAAAGAATAGAAAAATCTGTTTTGTTGCCATGCATTTCCGGTTGCATTTTAAACTAAAATTCATCTCTCTATTTTTCGTTTTGTCTATTTCTTTTTGTTTTATTTTCTGTCACAATGTCATTAATGTTAACACGGACATGATTACTTTGTTCTAATTTTGTATTAATCTAACACAACTGACAACAGTTTCAATTTTTTTGTACGTAGATATGCAGTTGTATGGATGCAGGTACTAAAAATAAAAGGATTTGTTTTTCACATTCAAAATATGGTATGTATGTGGCGGTATGTCGAGCGCTCACTATATAATTTCAACTTTATGTACTTACACATAATGTTAATAAAATTTTTAACTTTATTTACTTATTACTGACTGACACATTTTTATTCGAAAATTTCCTCTCTTGTACATATTTTCATCATCCATTATTGCATTATTATTCTTCGTTTTTTCTTCTTAAAAAGTTTTATAATCACATGTACGCATACATAAAAGGGAGTCGGGTATCTTTGTTTTAAAGAATTTTGTTTTATGTGCAAACATATTTGAATAGCACATCCTTGTTTAACCATTTATTTTTTATCATTTACTACATACTATAAACATTTACACATTGTAATATTCTTGTCACATATAATATGAAAGAGTGCAAATGATAACTATCATTATTATATCATTATAATTTTTTTAATTTTTTTTTTTTGAACAATTGAAGTTGAGAAAATTAGTGAACAATACAATAATTCAAGTTAATTTATATGAGTATATGTGAAAGTATATAGGGTGGCTTTTAATTGGAGAGCATCACACTTTTAAGTCCATTATGAACACTATATCTATTGTACTTTGATAAATCAATACAAATGGAATATTATGCTTGAACAGTATGAAATCACCAAAATTTCCTTTCAAAACCAGCTCCTGATGTGCGCAATTCAAAGCATTATTTTATTTTTGAAATTGTGTTCGGCAATGAAGCTCATATTAACTTAAACAGGTTCATTGGCATCAGGTCTGATACTGACTTGCTTGGTACGTTACGAAAGCTGCAACCGTGTTTTCGCGCCACGCATTTTATTTGCTTCCTTTGTATACATGGGTGCTGATTGGCATACAAAATTACAGAAAAACTGTACAAATTTCAATTTATTTAGAAAAAATTTATAACAGTGTGTGGAACTTTACACTGATCGTATTTCATGTATTTTATATAGTTCAATAATTTTTCGTTTAAAATGTGAATGACTTTGAACAAGAAGAGAATAAGTATTGGATGGCATTGCGAAATTTGTAATAGCAAAGTTGGGTCTATATAATCGCACAAATATCGGTTCATACTGCAATAAAATTTTAGTGATAATTAAATTTCACGGAATAATGTTATGGATTTGTCTTCGAGATCTTGTGATTTAACACAGATATATTCTAATTTCCATATCCATTTTAAGCTTACACGACACCCTATATAATTATATCAATATGCTAATTATGTCAGTATACATACATTCATATTGTGAGTTTGTATAATGTTATGTATGCTAATTTTTTTCCTTTTATAACAAAATATTATAAATCTCTCTACTTGTTCTTAAGAGAAAAGTGAAAAAAAAAATTAAATTGTTGAAATATGTAAATTGACGACGTATAACTTATTCATTTTGTACAGAGAATTTAAAAAACAAAATAAGGAAAAAAGTCCCCAAATACAAAATTTTATTTAAATCATTCAAGAACTGACAATAGACTATTGCCAATACCTTTTATGTCATACATACATAAATAAATTTTTTCTATTGATAAATTTTAAATAAAAAATATTTTGTAAATTATTAAAAAATTCTCATTAGGTCAAAGAATTTTTCATTTCTTTCAGTCTCTTTAATTAGATCCTCATAGTTTTGGCAACTATTTCATTTATAAGAGAAACAAATAATAACTTTATCATAGCATATAACATTTTAATACGGCAAAATTACAACATTGCGCGAAAAAATTTTCATTAATTTTGGAATTTATAATTGTTTATCACGCGATTTAAAAAAGTAAAATGCATAAAATAATTTTAGAATTAAATATTCATAAAAAATAATTTCTCTTTTACCTCTTCATAGAAAATTTTCCAATTATATTTCGTAAAATGAAAATTGTATTTTATAAACTTTTTATTCATAAAATTTTAATATAACTATTTTGTTATTTCTAAAGTTTTTAAACCGCCATGGCAGGGTATGTTGGACTGCATAAAATACTTTAAAAATTCGCTTACAGAATTATTTAATATCCCGCAAAAACTCTGTTTTTACAACATTTTTAACGAAAATTCAAAACAAAATTAGCACAAATTCTATGTGCTAATTTTTCTTTGTCGGTTCATGCATCCGTGATGTCAAATTTTAGACACAAACCGATATTGATGAAAAGTTTTTGTGTTTAGAAGATCATTTGAAACAATAAACTGTTCGAAATAAACAATTGATTTCATTAGAATAAGATTTTTTCCTAACTTCTTCCCCTTTCAAATTATAATTTCCCGAAATTTGAGTTCTAGGCACTGTAACTGCAAGTTTTTTCACATTTCTGTGGAAGCAAAAAGTTGATGCTTAATTGTCTTATTATAAATAATAAAATCATTTTTCTTAACTCGTTTAATAAACCGTCGAACACAATATTTAGCAGCTTATCATGTTAATACTTCTTTTAATTTTTTCTCTCATTCATAAAGTATGCAATAATTTTGAAATATTTTGTATATTAACGAAAATATTATGTTATTGATAAAAAAAAAGTCGTCAACAATTGTTTCTACTCGACTTGTTAAAGCAAAATGTGCTGCTTTATAAATTATTCCTTTAATTTTGATTCGGATTTGTTCAACTACTTACTTTACTACATGCCGACTAAATAATGAAAACATTTAATTTCCTTTTGTTTAAAGAACTTGGCAATAATTAATTTACAAAACGATTTTTTTTCTACCTTCTATCCTTTTCTTTTCGTTTTAGGCGGTTTGAAATAAATAATGTCATAATTGTTTGCAAACACACTACATACATTTATACTCAATATGTTAACAAACTGTTAAAACACTATATTAAGAAAAAAAAAACAGTACAAAGTGCTTGTCATAAATGATTTCCAGTTTAAATGTTTGTTTTTAACACAAGTAGTATAACAAAAGGAAAAAAATTGTTATATTTAATATGTTATAAATTTATGATAACGTAAACAGTGATTTAATGATAAAGAACATGCATAGGTAAACAAAAGAACAAAAATATCAAATTACATAATTATTTCAATCCACTGCTCATAAATAGTATTTAATTAGAGAAAAATTAAATAATATTCGGGAATATACATATGTAATAAAAAAATTTAGATGTACATTAAAAAGGGCATTATGCAGTAAATATGAAGTTGCTAATAAAATATTTAAAAAACAAGGTTCCAAGAGAAAAAATACTCGTCTGGTAGGTAACATTTTGCGCTTTCCACCTTCCTTTTCTATTTATTTAGTCTTAAAAGTTTTAAATATTGCAGATTTTTTCTAAAAACGCGGAAAGCATTGCAACTCATTAAAACTCATGGAATTACATCTCTAGCGAATTATTTTAGAGAAAAAATCTTTTTGACTTTCAGTATTCAAACTTGTTGCTTTAAAACGTTGTTAACCAGTAATTGATCTTTTAAAGTGTTAAAGAATCAAGTTGAGTAGTGGATTTTTAAAATGTCTTTGCAGTACAATTGTTATTTAGAAACCTCTTTTATTACTATCAAAAACTCTTTACTCATCTAGTTAATAAAATTGTTGAATATAGTAACATTGAGTCTCATTGAGTAACACTGAGCAATATTGAGCAACATTGAGCCATGTCACTATAAAATAATTTTGATGTTTTCTTATAATTTTAAATAAGGGCAAAATACAAAAAAATATAATTTATTGTAAAAAATTAAGTCATCTCATATTTTTACGTATAATCCATCAAATAATTTAAATACGCAATCGTTCTAATTAAATATTTTTTTTTATTTCAGGAAGACGACGCGACAATATTTAAATAGTTGCTGAAATATAACAGGTAAGAAATTTTTGCGTTAAAAAGTTTTGTTACGCATTTTGAAGGGAAAAATCATTGTTGTTTTTCAGTGTTAAAAGTAATGAATTTTTTTGCATACAACTAGTTTTTTTCTTAAATTATCTCAAGACAAAAAAGTGTTATTGTGTTATATGGATCTGATTATGTTCTAATCTAAGGTCGATTTAACGAATTCATAAATATCATATTGGATCCTGCAATCACCATTCATATTTGATTATATTTCATATTTTATTTGCTTGTACATAATAATTTAAAAAAAGTGTTTGTCAGCTTTCAATCTATTCGTTCGCCCGCCCGTCCCTGGACATGTTTAGAAAACTTGAAGATAGATAGCTTAAATTTCATATACAAATTAATTTTTACTAGAAAATTATTTACATAGAAGAAAATTTTTACCTACCTCCCCCTCTATAAGTTGTAGCTCCTCAAAGACCTAAAAATGTCATTCTTTAACTATTTGTTATAACGAACCATAAACATTTTTCAAATATTACAAACGCAAAAAAGTTGTGGCTGACTTCTTCTCTCTCAGCGTGATTTAATATTTTGACTTATTTGGTACAGCTTAATTGAATATTAAAAAGACAAAGTGGCTGCTAAAATTCCTGGCTATTTCGAATTTTTGATGTAGTGTTTCTCTTATACAATAAGTTTTAGGAGTCTGAAAGCAATTTTTAAATACTAATAAATAAGGGATCTAGAAAATTTTTAAAATTTGATTTCTTGACAGCTTATGTTTCCGAAAGCGCAAACATTACCAAATTTCTATAAATACAGAAAGCTAAACAGTAAATACCATTCAAAAATATAACTGTTTTTCCTTACTCACGCAATTAACCCTTAAATTCGAGCATTAGGCTAAAGCCTCTTTAAATTTTTTTTTCGTTTTATTTCACAAATCGCACACATGGTTCATTCTAATTGTATGGAATATTTGAAATATTGTCGTATAAGCGGTAAATTCATTTTAATGATGTAGTAGATTGTTTTTTGAAAGCAGTATTTTCACTTATTGAAGGGAAAAGTGCTACTTTACAAACCATTGGTTTTTCACTTAGAACAAAAATTTTAAGCAATTTTTAAAATTTGTAAAAAAATTTGAATTCTTGCTTTTTTAATTAATAAAATTTAAATCTGAAATTAAATTTTCCAAAAAAAAAATTCCTCTCTAATAATATTCATTTGAATTTCAATTCTATCCTTTCTTAATTTTAGCATAACCATAAACTTAATTAGTATGTTAAGTAATCTACGTATTGAAATGAAAATGTCTAAAAGAAACTGAATTAAATAATTAAATAAGTGAGTAGATAAACTAGAAACAATACATGAGAAAATTTCAAGTTGGTTCGTTGTTGCCTCAAAATCTTACCTAATTTTGCATTATATAGTCCCGAATTTTATCCAAGTACATTTATCGTGAATTATGCAATTTAATTCACGATAAATGTTTTAATTAATTAACTTTTAAAAAAAATTTAAGTTTATTGCAAAAAATTAAATATTTTTAAATATTTTTCCCTAAATTTAAATTCTCCATTTTAGTGTAAAACTTTTGATTTTAATCAAAATTTATAAATGGAAAATAAAATTATATTGCATAATTCATTGTCAAATTTTGAAAAAATTCGCGAAAAAATAGGCAAAAATATTCTCTTTTAGCTAAAAATGAATTTTCAATATTTAAAAAAACAAAACAAAAAACATGTTTTTTTTTTTAACATTTTCCATATTTGACACAAACCAACTTTTGTTGGCGAAGAAAAAAAAAACATTTTTTCTATTTTGGTTATCGCATTTTAAATATTTTTATGTTTTTTTTTTGGGTCTATTAAGGAAATTGAATTTAAAATGTTGTGCTGAAAATATTATTTATAAACTATCTTGTATATACAGACAAAATAGAAAAGAAACAACATACATAGCTTGTGTTTAATTAAATAAAGCACCGCACCACATTGAAAAACACAATTTTGGCGAAAAAATTTAAAAATTTTTTGCGCTGTTTTTTTTGCAATATGCGTGTAACAATATTGAAATTTTTATGTGTACTAATTTAGTAAAAATATATGTATGTATATTGCATGAAATTTCAATGTTTACAGCCTACATAGATACAAAAATTTGATATAGATTTTTTCTTATTTGCTTTTACATACACACATGTACTAGATGTATGCGAACAGTATAGACATAACTGAGTTCCAAAGTTAAAAATTCGTGGGTGGTGAACCAATAAAATTATAAAGTTTGTATATATATGTATGTAAGTATGTACAAGCATGAATAAATTAATTATACAAAACATAATTTTTGCTTTTTTTTTTTTTTAGTTCCAAACATATAAATAAAACATAAGCACATTACAATGTAATTAATTCAAGCGTTATTAACTATTTCAACTTTATGATAGCATAGAAGCGTCCATTGAAAATTGTTTATAATTATATTTATTTTTTTTTGTCCATCCTTTTCGCGTTTCTTATAGTAAATAAAACAAACAATAAATACAATGAGATTTTATGTTTTCACTTTCACTTTTCATGAAATTTATGTGATCGCCCGTCAGTCCATTCAATATGCATGGTTTATTTTGTCTTCTACCATTGTGCTAATTTTGAGGTACCGTTTTGAATTGATTTATGAACATGTACTAGTGCAATTTTAATTTTTGTGTACTATAAGTGTAATAATTAATACTATGTTCATTGTGTTTTTTATCCAAGGGACAGCCTTACATTTTGTGCCTTCTTGAATGTTATTGAATTATCTTATAAACTAAAAAATTTTATTATAGAAGTTTTGTACATTCAAAATTTATTTAACTTTAATTAAACTTGAGCAAATTAATTACAAATGTATGTAGCTGTATTTCTATTTGTGTGTGTGATAATTTCTAATTTTATCACATTTTGCAGTGCTTTTCATCTCAGACAGAAAAGTTTTATTACCCTATAAAATAGGGTAACTATCTATGTATATATTTACATATATACTTACCAGTTTATTTTTTTTGGGTTATTATATGATGTTTTACAAGAAAATGAAAAAGAAATAAAAATTTTTAACAGAAATCGGCGGAAATAATAAAAATTTTTTGAATCAAATCGAAAATTTTTGAGCACAAATAGTTTTTTGTATAACAAATCGCATTTTTTTAAAATAGTGGCATAATTTCATATTTTGATTTGCATACGCTCAGGAGGAATCACGTGCAAAACGTAATGAATTCGCAAAGAGTTTTGAATATGAACTTTGAGCTAACTATAGCGTAACAGTCGATTTAAATTGACTTACAAAAATAAAGAAAATAATCGTTCAAAATCAATTTGTTTGCGAAAATGATGCAAATATCACTATGAAATTGTGACATACTGGTGTGGTGAAGTTATTCAGCAAAAATGATATGATTGAGGTTATTGAGCAAATTATATTTGCACACTCTATTGTATAACATTAACCATTCTAACAGAAGCTGTTCCATGAAATTGGTTCCAATTACAAATTATTGTTATATTGTCAAACATTATACATTTAGTTCTTATATTTCTTTCTTCAATTTCTTTTATTTTTGCATGCATTATACATGTTTGATACCATTTGCATAACTGAATTTTAAAAACTGCATTAAAATATACATAAGATATTTAAAAACCGAAATACCGTTATCAAATGTGCGGCATAAATTTTATTCATATACTCTTTACTACTTTTTTCTTATTCTTTGCATTTTTCTTGTTTTGTTGCTTATTACAATATACTTTCTCCTTACAATAATAAATTGTTGTTCATTTTCGCTACAATTTCATTAATTCAAAGAACTTAAACCATCCAACTTAAGTGGAATAAAAATTGCATAATGAAATGATGTTTTTTTTTGCAATATTTCGCAAAACACAAAAAAAAAACAAAGTAAAAAAAATTATAATAAGATTTTGTGGAGGGTGTTAGTTTTAAAATAAGTATTCAAAAAAAAAAAAGCAACAAGAAAACGAAATGAAAAAACCGTCCAACTACAGACCAAAGAAATGCTTTAATGCATGCATTAATGATGGAAAAAAAAATGCAGTGAATTTAAAAATTTTCTAACTGCAACAAAACAGCAACAATAAAAAAGAACATTTCATTTAGTGTATAGCTACTGGCATTCATCTGTTGTTGATTTCGCGAAATTACTGATGCATTCGATTTTTTTTCCTCTTTAGATGATAATGCATGAAAATATCAAAAATTTCCATCGTCAAGAGTTTTTTTTTTACATAATGATGAACTGTTCAATTTAATCTTTTCTTTCATAAAACTCAAATTCAAAAAATGAGATGCAGAAGAGAAAAATATGCAAAAAAATTTTAGGTATACCCAATTGCTATTTATTTCTTCTTTCTTATATGCCTTGTATATGTATTAATGTGTGTATATTAAAATAAAATGGAATGAAATAATTTTTAATAATTAAATTAAAATCGTAGGCAGAATTAATTATTTTTTAAACGCTTCTTTACATTTTGTTCTTCATTTTACTTTAAATCTCTTCAGAATTTGTAGAATAGAGGATTCGTTGTATTGCTTCATCTTGAAAATTAACAGTCTTACATTGTTCTTGAGCAAAACGTTTATGAAATCAAAAAAAAAAAAATACGAAATATAGAAATTAACTTGTTTGCTCTTCGAAATTTAATACAGTTTTCAACCATGTCAGATACGAACAGAATTTATGTAAAACAGTTTAATTCAACACATAGAGATTTGAATGCTGCGATTGATAATTAAACGAAAAGAAAGTATTTCTGTTATTGTTTGCAAAAAAAAAGGGAAAATATTTTTCAAGTGAAAACATATGTAAAGGAAATTCGCTTAAATTAAATTTCCATAAATTAATTATAATGTCTAGATTATCTCCATATTTTTAAAGTGTTTTTGGAAATTTAATGGTTTTGCTTATATTTTTATCTCAGTTCTAAGAACTGTTGATGTGGGAG